CTCTCCCCGGGGAGCCCGCGCCCGGCGGGCAGGGAGAGCGGAGGAGCCGGGAAAGCGGTTTTGCCGAGACGAGGCCACTCGGACAATTGAAAACCGGAGCAGCTGCCCTGGGAAGGAGCCTTCGGAAGCGCGACCGCGCCGCGAGGCTCCTGCGCCCTCCCTGCGGGGTTCCCGGGCGTTAGCGAGACGGTCCTCCCGCCCAGCTGTGCAAATAGCCCCGTTAAAGCGGCCGGCGAAGAGGCCAGGTCGGGTGAGGCGAAAGGGTTCGCGCTCGGCTCAAGTGTGGATACCAAAGGCCCCTGTCCCCTTGCAGGCACACTCCCTGGCAGCGCTGTCTGGAGCTGGGGGAGTGAGACTTGGGCAAATCTTTATATCCACCCCCTGAGGAGAGATGAGGCAGCTCAGTTAAACAGTCTCCGGGTAAAGCAGTGCCTGAATCAACAAGAAGTGGTAGTCACACAACAAAGAGGGCTTAAATCCAAACGACCAGCTCTGCCAAGTCATGCAGATCCTACTGAAGTCAGTACATTTGGTGTTTAAGTGCCCCCATTTAATCTGGGTATTTAGATAGGAAGAGTAAAAAGCCTGTCATGTGTCTTAATGCTTGTATTAAACAAAAACCAATGACATTGCTAAGCTTGCGTGAAAAGTGGCTGCTCTAGTATCTACGTGTAAAGTCTGGTAACGGGTGCACCATCCTTTCAGGGGAAGCACAGACATCCCTTCAGGAAATTGCTTCTCCCTCTGCTGAGCTAAGCTGTTCAGGGCAGGATACCTATTTGAAAAGATTTTTTAATAATAACAAAAAAGTGCATTGTGTTTTCCTCTTCCTGTGTAGGTCACTATTCCTGTGAGCAGTCTGAACAAAAGCAATGCAATGGATGTGTAAAATTTGAAGGGAGTGTGACATGGTCACGTCAGCCTGGGTCTATAGATAGATGGAACAAGTGATGGGAAGTGATGAACCCCCTCACTCCTACTAATCTCAAGGGCATAACCAAAGCCTAATAAGGGTGCTACTGTTGTCATTACTGATGTCATTGTGATCATTTCAACGCAGGGTGTGGAAATGAAATCTGCACGGGTGCAAACTCAGAATTACTGAAAGGAAGAAAAAGCAAAACACCTCCAGAAAGGAAGGATCAGAGGTTGGAGAGATGGGGGGGGGGGAGAATAGGCAGAAATTATATAATTGGTATATATATGATATATACCATATGGTGTATATATATATTTGGTAATGATGCTTGATGTAATGAATGAGTGAAAAACGAGCTGTAAGTGAAACAGATTCTGTAAGAGAGTTAAACAGGGAATTTGGCCATCTCCACGGAGTGAGTTTGACTAGGACTTGAAGGCTGGTCAGGAAGGATTACACATAGGAGCGCATGCATGTTGCTTCAGCAACTCCTGCTACTAGTTCATACTACGAGTATGAAACAAAAAACTTTTTTGAACCAGTAGGTGGGTAGCTTGGCCAGCTGACGTGAGGGGAATACATATAGCTTTGCAATTAATATTTTTTAAAACAAGCCTTCCCTACTTTTACGTAACAACAACAAGCACAAACTATTTGTTCAGTGTAATAAAGTGAGTATATATGTGAAGAATCCAATCAGCATTAAACTTTAATAAGCCTCTGTTCCAGCTGATCTTTTGTATTATGCTCCAGTCAACTCTGAGGCCTGAAAGGACTTGTCTTTCTGATTTTACAGCTTTTTTATTCGTTTATTTTAAACTATTTGCTTAGCTTAACTTCACTGAGATGTGATCTTGCCTGGAAGGTGCATTTAGTTCAGACAGTCATCCTTAGTGAAGCTGTTTGGTAAGGAGGAACAAGACAGTTCTAGCTATTCGAGACATGAACAACTGAAATCTGCAGTCCGGTGTTCAGACTCTAATAGGATGGCTCACAACACTTGAAGTGAAAGGCTGTCTTGATACTGCCCTTCCTCTCAGTGCCTTCATAGCATCCCATGAGCACTTACAGCAATTGCTAATGGAAGATAGACCTACATAGCTCTCTCTATAAAAACTATATATAGATAGATAGATAGATTTATGAACTAGCTATGGTATTTTAATTTCTTTCATCCATTTTGAAAAAAAGCAGACAAATGTACTCCTTTTTTTCTCCTCCTACCATCTGTTGTGCTTTTCTTCGTTGGAAACAAAAATGTCAGCGCTTGAACAGCCACATCTTTGCAAATCCAGCTTTAGGAATCATTATCCTGCGGGATAAAACAAATAGGTCAAACTGGATTTCATTACTGCCGTATGTTGTGATCGTATTGCAAATATTTCAATGTTGTCTTTTTTTTTTTTTAAAGCCTCACATTCCAGGCATCAGGTGAATCTGTGAGAATTTCATGCTTTCATTCAAAAATGTATTTGGTTCTGGCCTTCCAAGTTACTAAAGAAAATCTTCAACCTCCCAGCAAAGCTTTGCTTCAGCTCAAAAAGTACGTGGAAAATAAGTGTCCCCCCCCAAATTTTTTTTTTATTGCATGATTTTTAAACAAGTCTTAGGAGTCTGAGAGACTTGATTCATGCTTTTAAAGTACTCTGACCTGAAATAACAAAATACTCTAAGCATCCTTTTCACTCTCAGCCAGTGCAGTTTAGTGGCGTGTCAGATACTGGTACAGAAATTGGTACAGTTCCTGGTACGGAAATTGTAGTATTTGGTACAGAACTGTAGTATTGCATACTCCTTTAAGAATGTTACAGCGCCATAAGACTGAAAGGTTTAGATGCCTTGCAAATGCAGACTGTGGAGACTGTATCATTTTGTGAGTGCAGTGAGTACTGTCCTCAGCTTAGTTGTTAACAAGTAAAAGTGGGGATTCAGGCTTGACTGGGTTATTAATACTATGCCCTGGTCCAGCTTAAACTGAGAGTTTCTCATACTTGACTACTGTACTAATTACCTAGTAGGATTTTTTTGTAGCAGCTACTGGGAAATGGGTTTTTGATATGTAGCTCAGCCCTGAAAAGTGGTGTTATCCCCCTAATCTGGATTTGCCAGGACCGCTCCAGCTGCATGGCGTATTTGTCAGACTTTGGTGAGAAAAACCAGGTTTTGGTGCTATTTTGACAAATTGCATACAGCCACTTGGGTAGCTGAAAGCTAGTTGGTTGTACTGCACCGCCTGCAATAAAACTTGAGTCACTGGGCCTCACTGTGCTTCTCCCATGGCATTAAGGAGGCATAAAGACGACGTGGCCACACAGTTGTCACTTCAGGCAGAGTTTCGCTGAATGTTCCTTTCCCATGACTGATGCACTGACTAGAAAGAGCCCAGTCCTATAGAAGTATGTGTTGCTGGATACCTGGGAAAACATTTCTTACGGACTGAAATGTATTTGATTTAGGCTGGCTAAACATTAGCCTAAAGTCCAAGAGGCTATCAAATATCCAGAATGTCTTGAACACAGTCTCTTTTCCCACTGGAGATTGTTTCTGCATGCAGCATGAGATTTTTATACGTTTGTCCAGGATTTCTCAGTGTCTGGTAATGCTATCAAGGCCCACGGAGCGCGTGACTTCGGCTGTGTACCACGTGTTCAGTAAATATGATACTTTCAGAAAACTGGACTTGCTGTGCATTTGTGATAGCCTCCATAGCTGCACAGTGGGTCTGGGACTTCTTGAGGGTTTCAGATGAACCCTCTTTGAATGCAAAATTATGCAGCTTTTTCTGCGCCACATATATTTCTGTAAGGTTTCGGCTCCTCATTCCCAGTTCGTAGAAAACTTGGTGTGAGGATTGATGAGTGCATGTGTGTCACTAGCATAACACGTTCAGATCTCATTGCTATGGGGAAAATGCTTTATCAAGGCTTCATCTCTTCAATTGTCAGATTCATCTCCTACCCTACAGCAGATTCATTCAATTGCAGATAATCCATCCTAAATCCTGCATACTTCACCCTCGCTTTATATCTGGCTCCTTCCAGAAGAGTACTACCGCCCTGCCTGTTTCAAGGGAGAGGGAGACTCTCCCTCTCTCTCCAACATGGCTCCTTTATGAAGCCCAGAAGCCAAATACAGATAAAATTTTTACATTCAGGACAGACATGGGGTGGGACTAGATGACAACTCTGCATGTTCCTGAGCAGCACAGATTTTCCGAATCTGAT